CGAGCGACAGCATTAGTCCGAGCGACAGCACCTTCTCCCGGAGCTCAGCGCGCACACATCCCACCACCAGAGGACACGGAGCCGCGGACAAAGGCCGGCTGCCGGTTTACAACATCAACCCACACTCACAGGCTCCGGTAAGGCACGGAGGAGGGGGCACCGGGGCTGGACACGTGACACCAGTCTCCCTTTAAAGAGACGGAGCCCCTGCAGGTGATGTCCGCCTGGATCAGACGCCCTCACCCTGACTGCGGGTCAGCTCTAAAGCCGTCCGGCTGTGACGTCATTCAGCGAGAATTGCATGAATAAATCAACACAACCAGACCTGACGCTTCTCGTCTCCTGGTAACTGGGTGCAGTGGCATTTGGTGACACAAACTGGCATGAGGGAGATGCTGAATAGGTCAGAGTCCTTCCAAAGCACCAGCTGAGTTGTATACATCCAGCGTGACTGTTTACACCAGTGCCAAAAGGAAACAACATACAATTTGAATGTAACAAATATTAACATAAACGCTCTACTCAGGCAGGTGGGGGTGAAGAGGACTCAGGAGCCAGCCATGATTGTGCCTCAGGAATCAGAGGAGCTTGAAGACCTGCTGCAGGTCTCTGATGTAGGCAGGTGCCTGAGTGTGCATAGTCTTAAACGTGGTCTTAGAGTGGGTTGTGAATGTGTTGGCGGTCCTGTGTGAAAAGATCAGGACTGTGTTACACAGTCCCTCTCACACAGCCTGGTCTGGAGCATAGCAGCATGGACCACAGCCGACCGCCCAGGGGGCGAGCTGCTGAGACAAGTGGAGACAACAGCAGAAACGGGGGTCTGGAGGGCCCCTAGAAGCCAGCTGGCCTCAGTGAAAGTCACTGTCAGAGGGCAGAGAGCTCTCTCACCTAGTATTGAATGCCATACCATTTAGGAAACTAAAATAGAATAAAAGTTGAGTAAAAATAGACTAAAAAGAATATGAAAACCAAGTCAAAGTGGTTAGGAAAAAGCTAAACAGTACAACCTAATAGGCTACGACTCAAACATTACAATTGGTGACAGTGGTGCAAATAACAAGATTGTCAGATGGCTGTGGGATTGAGATGCACATGGACAGTATTGCAAATGACCAACAGCAGCAGATATGACGGTAATAACAGTCAGCAGCAGATTTACATGTAATACAACAAGAAGGGGGAATGTACTGGGTTTGTGCAAAACAGCAGAGGTAGTCTTTTTAGCTAATGGACAGTGTTACTATTTAAGATCAAGTATTTTACCAAGAGTAGTGGTGGAAGAAGCATCAGTACAAGCAAGTACTTTAAAAGTAACAAGTCCTGTATTCAAAATCCCACAGACAGTACACAAGTATTTTCAGTTCAGTACTGTACTTTATTTCCTATTTTTTAGCTACATTATCTTCTTGTGTGTGTGCGTGTTTTTTGTGCCTGCCCTCCACCTCAGCTTATTCCCTGGGGTGTGGTACGTGACTTAGCTGCTGCGCCCAGGCCTATTTGTTGTTTTCGTTAGCGGTCCTTCGCTCGGACACAGTCTCGTGTTACCTGCTGGGAAACATAACACACATCACATCTATGGGACACTAAGTTGGAACTACATCAGAACAAAACAAACAAAACTCTGTGGTTCTTTATCAAAAACCTTTATTAGCTCTACTTGGAGCACATTCAAGCTCCGGCGCCATATTTCTACAAAATGCTCTCAGTTAAACAAAGCTGTCGTCATCAGGTTTGTGTGACAACAGTTGCACTGACACCAACACACCACATAGTGTAACGATGCTGCGATTGTACAGAAACGAGTGACCCCGTGATCTGTGCTCAAACCGCCCTACACAACATTTCCGCAGCAGAGCAGCTTGTGGTCAGTGTAACACACACACACACACACACACACACACACACACACAGAGTTGAAGTGTCCGACAGTGTGTACCATACTAGTGACTTTGTCTGTGAGACAAGAAACATGTTCAAGGGGTTTTCTCCAAACACAGCAGGTTCGTTGCTGGTTAATTAGGTTTTGTATGTGGCCTCTCGCTCGTGTCGTGACCAGACTGCCTGCTGGTGAAGACCACACAACATGATCAGAAGGGAGAAAAGTTCTGTGTCTAAAATGTAATGACACAGTGCATGTTGTCCCATCACCAAACATGTTTCTTCAGAAGCTGCAGGGAGTTGGAGTGGCTGAGACTCAGTCCAAGGAGTGAAAGATAAGAAACACAGAGGCAGTTTGCTGCTGTTTCTGTCTACACTGCTCATCTGTCTATGTCTATTTTAATAACTGCACACTTAGAGTTGGGGAAGCTGAAAATAATCAGAGCTTATAGGTTCTTTGTGTCACTTTCACAAATGTTCATGGGTGACAGAGGAGGCCCTGCACGCAGACCTGGTCTCCTCCTGTGACAGAGTCCAACAGCAGAGGGAAAATGTTTGCTCAGCAGGACCTGGATTCTACTCCTGCAGCTGGTCTGGGTTCAGTGTCTGCTCAGACTTTGTCTCCTGCCTTGTTGTTGAGCCCCAGAGCCTGAACCATGTCCAGAGTGAGTCCGCTCTTCAGAGTCCTCCTCACTGAAACACACACACAGCACGTGTCAGTGATGCAAAGAGACGCAGGCTTCGTTACAGGTAAAGATCGAGCCACAAACCAGCTGAGTAAAGTGCCCCGAGATGATTTTTCTTGTGATCGATATAAATAAAATAGAACTGAATGGTCCCAGACTTTAAAAATGTTAAAACTACGACTGTGTGCAATCTAAACACAATCTAAAGCTGCAGCAGAAGAAAGAAGTGGCAGCAGCTGTGTCAGGGGGCAGGTGCACTAAGCTGAAGACTCATCCACTGAAGCTGGACCAGTGTCAATAGAGCAGACATCAGCGCCTGTCTTCCTTCAGAGACTATTGGAGCTGCTTTTGTGCAAAATAACAAAAACATTACAAACCACTAGGCTCATGCTCTAGGCTTGTCCTTAAATTTACAGCTGCACAAAACGATTTGACTGTTCTTTCTTCTGACCCAAACACTTCAACATCACATCTTCAAAAGAGCATTTGGGAAAATCTTCGCTCTATGGTTCACATTCAATTTGACCACAAAGAACTGTCAAGTAAAACATCAGTGTTACGCGCTACAGTCATCAGGCTGTGTACTCACATGACTTCCTGTTGAGCCGAGACTGCTTTCGGGTCTTGGGGCTGGACGGTCTGTCTGAGGGATTCTGGGTAACAGACTTCACCAGTCGGTCCATGATCTCATCTGTGGCGTCATCCTGGCAGCTGGTCCCGTCTTCTTTGGCTACTGACATCTGAGACGGACTCACCGTGCCCAAACCTGAGGACCAGAAGCACAACATCAGCCAGCACCAGGTGACCACCACCTCGCCCTGACTGCAGCAGTCAGAGAAGAACAGTGTTCTACCATGTAGACCTCCGCATGATGCTCCTACTGTATGTGGACTTAAAGGATGCTCCACAGTTTCATCAGTGTTTGCTGCAGCGCACTTACATGTCGGTTGTGTCTCTGCTTCAAGGTTTGATACAGAATTTGGGTTGAATCAGCAGCTGTGAACTTAACCTGAACTATGTGAGAGCAGTTTCTTAAATGGGCCTCATAGAACCGACTCACCTCAGACGTTAAAGCTCGGCCGTCTCTTAGTGTCCCGGAGCTATGAGGCCACTCTGTCTCCCCGCTGTCAGCTGCCTACACAATGCCCCAAAAACTAACATGCATTTCTAAGCAGGGTTCAGTGAAGTGATGAGATGAAGGCGAGTGCGAGTGACTGATGTGTCTGAGGTCAGATTGCAGCGTCCTGAACACGCACAGACTTCAGAGACATTTCTATAGACGCAGCAGCGAGCTGCTGTCAGATTCAGAGCTATGGAGACAGATGGGGTCTTACTGCGGACGGCTCTGGTGCGTCGCAGACCTCTCTGCTCAGCGCTCACACTACTGCTGATCAGCAGGTTCTTCATGTTCTCGTGCTCCTCCTCTTGATCTGCCTCTGCTGCCGTCGTGATGAGGGAGGGGTTGTCCTGATAAGGCACCGCCCCCGAAAACTTCTCTGTCTGAGAGGAAGAGGAGGAGAGAACTGGGTTTAGTCAGGCCTTTAAAGAACCAGAAAAGTCCTGTTTCTTGGGCTGTAGCATAGATGCCTGTGATGCGCCTAAGCAGTCACCATGTTGCAGCAGGGTTCAGCTCAAACTGCAGAGGTCCCCAGAGTCTTTTGGATGTTTTTAGTAAAAGAAATGACAAATCTTTATTTTACTGTTATAAAATTTGATTATTTGTTTTGCATAATAATGTGCAATTCAGTATTAGTTTTTTCTTTGATTATCTAGTAAGTAAATTCATCTTAAACATTATAGAACAGTCACTGTCTCCAGAGAAAGTGTTTTGGTATGAAACGCCACAGTTTAACCACATGTCCTGTGTCATAAACTAATTTCTACAACTGTAACAACCCAACAGCTGGAAAGTCGGTTGTGGATCCAGTGAGTTTCTGTGGACAGAGCTCCTGCCTTCAGACGACCACCTGCATCAGGAGGCTCCCCTGTACCAACATGGCAGCTGCAGTGAACAGCAGCAGCTCAGGAGGACTTGAATGCCAACAGATAAGTTCTATTCTACAGCTGCTGTAGATTTTCTCATTCCATGCTACTACCAAATGTTTCTGTAACTGAAATGACTGATTAAGAGAGAAATCCCAAAAGGCTTGCCATGAGGTGTGGCTGGTAAGTACAGCTTGTGATGAGAACTCTGTGTCAAACCTTCACACTGTTTCACTGGTGTGAATGTCAGCCCACTGTAGTGGGCTTCAATAGATAGGAGATCAAGTATCAACACATACTGGATGGGGACTGTGCTCAAAAACCAAACCACAGAGGACATCCAGTAAAACACAGTGCAAAGATGAAGGCAGCAGCCACCATCAGCTTGAGAAGCCATTTGCACTGTTGTGGTTCATGCTCCTGCTGCTGACCTCCAACCCCTGCAACGGCAGGAGGAGCGGCACTAAGGAGGTTTACCTCTGTGATCAGTTTGCCTCTGGTCTTGGTTCGCTCTCTGTGGGTGGCTCGTTTTCGTTTGATGGTAAGGATTCGCTCTCTGGTGGTGCGATACTCCAAAGCAAACTCACTGATGATCCGACAGAAAGCAGTGACTTTAATGTCTCTGACTGAGGAGGACGGCTGACCCAGGTACAACAGGAAGGAGTGGAACCTGGAGTCATAAGACACGACTAGTTAGGATCAGGCAGAATGTACAGATTAAGATGAGAGGAAACCCATACCTGCTGGGAAACGTCACTTGTCATGGAATCTACTCCCAAATCTAGTTCACAACACTCACCTCAAAATCTAGGACACGTTTACACAGCTGGTATATACTGGAGGCAATACGGCATGGATTTAGACACAGTTATAAATGCAGCTGTTACACATGAGAGATGACTGACGGAGGCTGAGCTCCATGTCCTACTTCCACATTGGTTCTTTAACCAGATACTGTGTGTGTGTGTGTGTGCGTTTGTGCTCGTAGGGCTGGACAGCCTGAGGACATCTTTGCACTGTGAGGACATGTTGTCCAGTCCTCACACCTGCAAAGGGCTGTTTGAGGGTTCAGACCTGGTTGGATGGTTCAGATTCGAGTCAGTTTGAGGCCAGGGTCAGGGCAGACTGGGGCTAAACATTTAGCTGTGATGGTTGAGGATAGGGTGAGGGTTAGGGGATGCTTTATGCTACTGACAGCTGTGTGTGTCTGACCTGTTGATGACCCTCCTGTGCACCACCTTCAGGATGATAATTCTCTGAGTGCAATCCTTCAGAAAGTCTGTCATCTTGTTTTTGAGCACTGTTTTGGTTTCATGTTTGGCCACCACCTTCAGGTTGTCCCATGATGCCTTGCAGCGTTTCTCCAGCTGGACCAGGTTTTCTGAGAGCTGCTCAAAGTCCACCTAGAGAAAGAAAGTCACCTGGTCACCACCTGTGTCTGCTACCTGAACTAAGTCAGGTGAACAGTCTGGGAAGGAGATGAAATTGCAGTAGAGAAGAATAGATTTGTACTTTTGAAGAGCGGGTGATGGCTGGGATCTCAGAGTAGACATCAGAGGATTCTGGGTAATTTTCCACCACCTGGCTGCAGGTGTGATGCAGCAGAGACTGTCGGTGAACTGTGTCCTTCACCTCCACCACTTTCTCCAAGTAACTGAGCTCAAAGCCTTTAGCCTGCGCACACACACACACACACACACACACACACACACACACAGGTAGCGTCTAATTACAGCTGCAGATAAACACCGTTGTCTTTTCAGACACAGATTACAGATGAAGGCAGCGATCTGAACCACGTCAGCTGATCCATGGTCCAAGTTGTCATGAGCAAATAAAAACACTATATTCTTATTTCTGCACTTCCCAACAGCGGTGTGTGAGAGGCACTTGGTCCAAGAGTCAACAACTGATTATTTATTTACTGATAAACTGGTGCACCATGTGTAGAGTGATAGAGTGAAGTGAACCTGGCCCCCATCAGAGGTTCTTTATCAGTCTACCACAGAGCACGTGAACTTGCTTCGAAACCTTTTTGTTATGAGTGAGTCTTTAACATGTAACGGTGTTCCCACTGGAAACACTTTGACTGCAGTTTCTGTTGGGTATGTGTGTGTAAGGAGGGGTCAGCTCAGTGCTTTCAGTCAACAGGTGAACCAGACATGCACACGTGTGCTTCTGTTCTCACATTGGAGCCGTTGAGGAAGTTGCCGATGGCGAGCAGCGCTGCCAGGATCCTTCTGAAGGTCTGATTGGAGGCTAGCTGCTCCATGCCCAGCTTCAGGTCAAAGAGCGGCTCAGCGATCTCCTGCAGGGGGCGACACAGGCACAACATCCTGTTGGTACACTTCATTACCTGGGGTGTTTCCTGACAAACATGTTCATAGATTTCCTTCCTACAGCCAAGCAGAGCAGGGAACACGGGCACACAGCACACAAACAGGAGGTGAAAACTCTGCAACACTTGTAGTAAAAAGCAGACGACCACAGAGCGAAACGCACTGCTCACACCGGTGATGCTGCAGTTTCCATCACTTTCTAAAACATTGCACATCAGATTTTTTGGATGTTTTGAAACTTGTTGACAGCAGTTTTTTTTTTTACCTGTATTTATTCAGGGTGAGCCCACAGAGGCCACTTCTCTGTTTACATACACACCTGGAAGCTGCCCAGTCCAACCGCAGACTGACCTGTGGCCACTGAGCAGCTCCACTGGAGCAGTTGGGGTTGTGGGCCTTGCTCAAGGGCACCACGGTGGTGTTACTGAGGGTGGGGCAACCACTGCTTTGTCACTTGTCCCACCCAAATTTAATGCTGCTGGTCCAGGGATTGAACCAGCAACCCTCCAGTCTCAAACCTTTAGGCCACCTCTGCCCACTTTACCTTTGTGGCTGCTTTTAATTCTATTTATTGCTTTTTTGCAACATCCATTCAGCAACAATCACTCTATACAGTCCACCACATTGTTAGTGGCAGGGTCCACCATCAGTGTGCTGGATTCAATGACCTTCCTTCGGCCTCTCTCTGGCTGTAAAAAGAAAGTAGTGCCTCAGACATGGTTGGATGCAGCATGAAGCCCCAGCTGCTGGAACAGCTCCTCAGCCTGGGCTGAAAACTCCAGCCAAGGCTGGATTAATACCATGATGTCCCAGGTTTCTCAGTGTGTGTAAGTGTTCAACCCTAACGTACAAATTCTTTTGTTATTTTCTTATCTGCAAGTCTGCTGTGTGAGTGCACACGATGGACCACGAGCCAGCAGCCAGTTTACAGCACAGGGATGCTACCTTAACACAACCATGCATCTTTTACATTTTCTGGTTTGTGGACATGTGAGTGCAGCCTCACACACATCCAGACAAACAGCAGCTCTCGGCTTAGTCTGAAAAGGCCTGAGCACATCAGACTATGAATCAGAACTAAAGGTCTCTGCAGTCCACTGTACAGTCCTGGAGACCATACTCTACCCGCTGTGTGTATGTGTTTTACCTTCTCCAGAGTCTCGTAGTTGAGTTTGAAGGACCAGAGCTGCAGGCGGTGGGTCAGGGCACTGATGGAGGCCAGGCTGAGCAGGAACTGCTCCGCTGTGCCCAGAGGGACGTCGGGATTGGCCAGCTGAGCCTCCTGGATCTTCTGCTTCTCCTCATCCGTGGGGGTCATGGTCAGGATCTTCTGCTCAGGACAGAGGGGGGGGGGGGGGGGCCCGG